GGAATGATTACTTTTGAAGGTAGTAGATCAGATCACTATACACAAAAAATAACGGTATAGCCAATAAGGTGATGTGTGTGTACGATGACAATAAATAAAAAGAGTGTAAGTGTCATACCTATAGGTTTTACATCTTATTTATAGAGTTTATATGTAGATATTGAAATTCTGAACTTTTAGTGACTTTTTGGAGGCTCAATGTTTGGTCCATTGTTGTACTATGATTAGTATCATTTGAGGATTTTTTTTTATTTCCATTAATTTCCTTTCTGTTGTTGCCCCTCTGGGGCCTTTTAGAGCATGGACCTATATGATGAACCCATAATAGGTTGTTCTAGCATAATTAGTGGTCTGAAGTTTGAGTTTTAGGTACGCAATTGTGTTAAGAACTTGGTAGAAAAAATTTTACTGCCCTTGTGATCCTGTCTGGCTCGATAGGATTAATAATCCATGAACATTGATTTTTCTTTTCTTGAACCATTTTTTATTTAAATCGACTTGGAATTTGTTCCAAAATCGTTTTCAAAATTGATTTAGAACCTGTCTCCTAATCAGTTTTGAATTTTATCTGAACTAGTCCTAAACTAATTTTGAACTGTTCCGAACTCATTTTTAACATTTTAAGCTATTTTTATACTTTTAAAATTTGAAGATATTATTTTTGACTTAATAGTGTGCGTTTATTTAATAATCTGCTATATTCCTAGTGTGATTTGATATAAAGACATTTATTTATCTTTTGAATAGCGATACAGTCTAATCTATTTAAGTTTTGTACGCAATAATTTTTCTTTTGAATTTAAAGTTTTCAATTTAAAGAGATATTTTTTATAAAAACTTTATTTTTTATAATGATGTATATATATATATATATATATATATATATATATATAAAAATACTATTTTATACTTATAATTTTTATTACTTAATTGAAACTGATTTTACACATTCTCAAATTCCAATTTTAGCACGTATTTTTAACATGTTATGTAAATCATATGTAATAAATATCTTTCTTTTTTAACATTACTAAAAGATAAAAAAAAACTCAATTTTTACATAAGTAAAGTTGATTTTTCTCAATGACAAAATGCAACCAAAATTACTAAATCATCACAATTAATTTTAAAATATATTTTTAAATAAATACTTATTTACACCTCATTATAAAATTAAAAATATATAAAATATGTGAATAATAATTTTTAAAAAATTAATAACATTTAATATATTTTTTTAAATTGAAATATATAAATATAAGAATAACGTATTTTCAAATTTTTGAAAGGGGATTGAAATTTTCTTTAGTCGAGTTAAAAATCGGTTTGAATCAATTTTTTAAATTCTCAAACCTGTTCATAAACCACTCTAGGTCGAGTAGTTCGATTAAAATAAGATAATTATTTCCCTTTATTTTATTATGAAATCAGTAGTGGTCATAAGATAATGGAACATCGATGCTTCAACTCTCACTTGGATCGTTGAAGAGTGAAGATGCCCCAAGTTCATAGTTATCGTTGAATCTCTAATTCTGACAACTTTTTAGTTAAAACGTGCTAACCGTCCTAAATATCAACTTTAAAAATTATTTGAGATCGGTTATATATATTTTTTATTATAATGATAACACTAAGATATACATATATCCCGGAAATTATTCAAACCCTTTAACTTGAGTCCGGTTATGCTACACTTATGATCCCTATTATCGTAAAATAATTTTAGATTCAAAAGATACCATTTTTCATTCACTTCATCTATTAATTCGACAATAATAGAGATGATAATAAGAGGTAACAAATATAATTAATCCATATTTATTGTGGGTATATACTTAGATGAGCTTTTTTTTCAAGAAAAAAAACACTTTTCGTTTTTAAATCGTTTGGATATCTGCTTTTAAAAAAAGGAGAAGTCACAAAAAAAGTTAAAAACTTAATTTTTTCATTCAGAAGCTAAAAATTTTAACTTTTAAGAAAAGCAGAAGTTAAAAGTCAAATATTTTTTTCAAAAACTAAATATTTTTATAAAAATATAAATAGTTTTAACTTTTGTAAAAAGTACTTTTAAAATAAAGAAGTGATAAAAATTACTTTGTTTAAAAGGGAAAACAAAGACCTATTAGTAGTTACACTACGGAAGTTAAGGTAAACTATTATTGAAAAGATAAGGATAAGGACAAATGATCTTTTGGGAGAATAGATAAGCAAAGTGGGTTGCTAGCTAGTCATGCTAGATGTGTGAAGACTTATTACAGATTTTGTTTGTTTTGAAATTAGTGATAATATAATTAAGTTAACACGACAAAATTAGCAATCATTTTTTTTTAAATTAATTAAACTAGAATTATTTACAATATATTAGCTCTCATTATCCTTTTACCTGTTTTACATTACTGTCAAATTTTAGCCTTTATCTATGCCAAATTTTAAATTTTTTGAAAACTAGCTAATGCCTAGATGTTGTTGTCACCTAAATAATGTATATCTATTTCTAAATTGTAATATATATACACTATAAATGATAATTCTAAGTTGTAATGTAATATTAGCCTAATATTTCTCTTTAAAAAAATGTCGTTTTTTTTCTTTAAAACAATATTAGTCGAATAACTCTTTTAGTTATTTAATTAGTAAATAAAAAATAAAAAATAAATGCATTAATAGATCCATGAGCGCAAATAGATTCTCTCGTTTTTCTTTTTAATATGACAATATCGTGTGTTAAATAATCTTAATGATCGACGTGGTAAATATTTTTAGCAATGTATTTCTTTCTTTCTTTTTGATTTTTTTATCGGTTCATTGACTACCCATTTAATTCTTTTTTTTTTAATATACATAACCAACTAATTCAATTCGAACTACAATAGTAATAAAGCTCTTCTTATCAAATTCTTAACTCAATTAATGCATATATCGAGACAAATGATCAAATTAGAACAACCTTCTATAAATTGATCCATGTGCTTTTTTAATCTATTTGTTTTTTTTGTCAAAGAAGTAAATAAGAGAATTATTAGACTATCTTTTAAAGCGGACATAGCGTTATTTTTTTCCTAATTTTCTAATGAAAATATTAAAAGGTTTTTTTTTTATCTGAAGTATTAAGTGATTTCTTTATTAAATATGATTAATGATCTTTTAAATAGCCCAAAATTCAATTAACACTTTTACCCTTCCTGATTTCTAATAAAAAGGTAAATTCAATTAAACATTAACCAGATCAAGATAAAGATGATACATCTCTATCACTAAAAGAATAAATATAATCCTTAACTTTCCTCACATTCGAAATTAGTTTTATAACTAGTTCAATGAATTGAAGTTTGTGGGAATAACCTATTCGTCTCAAAGAGATAATTAATATTAATATCTAAAAGAAAAAAATATATAGATAATAAGTGTCATTAATCATTACTATTTAAGCAAACTAATCCTCAAAGTGCCCAAAACCAATTAATATTTTTATCTCATTTTAAGATAAGTACATTAAACACTATTAAGTATCAAGACTTGTATAATAAAATAATAATAATAATAATAATAATGTAAATGGGTTTGAATTCTATTAACATCACTAATTACAGGAAGCCCAAAATCCGATTAGAGAAGTGCCAAATCCTTGCAAACAATTAGCTTAAAAAAGATTGAATACATTCCTAATTATTACGGCATTAAGGAAGTTTTAATTATTTATTTACTTTAACTTTTCTAAAGTAAGTTGTGCAGTTTTTGTTTTGGGGGAAAATGGAGTTATAGAGGTTGATTGAAAAATCAATGATTAAAATCATAATAAATTACATACACGTATCTTACATAATATGAAATTGTTAAAATTTAATTCATTATTTTTTAAATCAACGTTGTAAGTTTGAATTTTTTTTATAAGAGCTCCGCACTTTAAAAAATCAAATTATATATTTTTGTAAGAGAAGGATATACTTACCACCAAAAAAAGTTTATAACCTTTACAACTAATCTAATCATCATTGATTTCCATCAATCTAATTATTATAATTTATTAAAATTATTGGGTTGTATTTATTAATTAATTATTATTCCCAATAAATTATAACTATTAGATTAACGAAAATCAACGATGATTAGGTTGATTGTAAAAATGATAAAAAAATTTGGTGGTAAGTATATCTTGTCCCATACAAAAAATAAATATTAGTTTAAGATTCCTTCTAATTATAAAAGCAAGAAAATATTAAATATTTTTAAGTTTTTAATATATTAAATACTTATAGCTTTTTCATTTAATACCTTGTATTGAAAGTAAGGATAAGGATACTGCTGTAGCATTATTCTCATATTTATAGGTATACTAGATACTAGATACTAGATACTAGATACTAATCTAATTTAAATAATTGCCATAATTGCCAATGGTGAATGCCATTGATTAATTTGAATTCAATAATGTTATTAGTGGTTTTCTAAATTGGTGAAAATTCAGAATCAAGATAATAAATGTCATTAACACTAACATTATTATTTCTATTTAAGAAAATTTGGCTTGAATTCAAATAAGGTAGCCTATTATCCCAGACCTATATAAAATAGTGTGTTGCTAATGTTATTATGAATTCAAAGGATAAGAATTTATTTAAAACACAGGGAAGTTATACTTCTACTATTTTTATTATTATCTCTTATTATCAACATTGTTATCATTAAATTAAAATTAAATCAATCATTCTCATATGATATTATTTTGATTTTGATCAAATTGATAGTAAGAAAAATAGTAATAAATATAACCTATCATATAAAACATTACATAATTAATTGGATTTTCATAAATAAACTCACACACACTATCTCTCTTTGGTAATTCAGAGGTGAATCCATGGGCAAAATTATGAACTGAGAAAAGAGCAAAAAAAAAAAGAATTCTTGCAAAATGAAACTGAAATAGATGATGCCTATAAATTGCATACCCCGAGGTGAATCTTGACCTCAGCACTCTTATAAGTTATAACTGACTATTCTGCATCTTCAGTTCCTTCTGTCTTTCCCTCACTAACAATATACTAAGTTCTTCTCTCTCTCTCTCTCTCTCACTTCAGATCCATTACTCTCTCTCTCTCTCTAGTTTCTTTCTGTTTTGACAAACCCTTCTCTGTCCCCCTCAAACCTTAAACACAGGAAGATTATCCTAGGTAGGTATTCATTTTCTAGTATTTCACAAACACAAACACAAAACAAAACCAAAAAAACAAAAAAACAAAAAAAAATCTTTTTTTCCCCTTTCTTTTGAAAAAAATCTCATTTTTTCCCCAGTTTACTTCCGTTGGCTTCTGGGTTATTCAACAATCCATGGTTGTTGAAGTTCCACAAATTAGAAAACCCAGATGAATTGCCATGATTTTTTTTTTTTTTTTTACCCCCGAAACAAACATGACATGTTTTTTGTTGACTTCTCTCTCTCTCTCTCTCTCTTTCATTGAAATCTTTGAGAAGTAATTGATGAGATTTTTGGGTTCAATTTTCTGGTCCCAAGTTGTCATCTTCTTCTATCTATCTTACCCAATTTGGTTAGTTTCTCTGCAAAAGCTATTTCAAAAGCTCATCTTTATGGAAGAAAAAAAAAACCACTTTTTGTTCTCGTCCTTTTACCCTTCATGGACTACTTTTTCTTTCCCTTTTGACTATTTTTTTTTTTTTTTTTGGCTTTTTATGTTCTTACAGTTCATGGGTCACTCACAATTACTTTTTGTAATGAATTCTCTTCTTTATATCTCGAAATCTCTCGACCTCGATTTGATTGTTGTAGAATTTTGATTTTGGTGTTTGTTCTCTTGGAAAGTTTAGTTGACTTACATGAACAAGGGAGAAAATAAGGAAAATAGAAAGAACATAACTCAGAATATTCGTCGTGATTTCTGTTTCTGTCTTCCTTTTATTCTTTTATTTTATTTTGTTTTTGTTTTTGCAAATTTAACTCTGTTTTGGTCTTTCTAAATGGTTCAGAGTACTTCTTGAATGTGCATTTGTCATGTTTCTTGCATTTATTTTCAGAATTTATTCGTCTGGGTCCAGTGGCAAGGAAAACAAGGAGGGAACATTAAAACACCTTAAATTATAATAATGATGATAATAAAGAAACCGGAATTGAATAGTGCAGTTTGGCTTTATCTATATTTTTCAACTCCAATGACCAATGCAATGTTTGTGTTTATTGTTTGTCTTTTTCAGAATTTTTTTTCTTCTTATAAACTAACTATTCCACTTTTACCATTTTGGGGCAGCATTAAAAAATAATAATAAGAAGAACTCTTTACTCAATCCGCTATATAATTGATTGCTTTTGTTACTTTTTTCGTGATAGGTGCTGCAGCTGAAGGACTGTGAAGATGCTAGAGAAAGTGGAAGTATTTGACACGGAAAAAGTGATAGAGGAATTTGAGGCTCTGACAAAGGATGCTGAGAGGATTCAAAGGGAAACACTGAAAAGGATCTTGGAAGATAACGCATCAGCTGAATACTTGCAGAGTTTGGGACTCAATGGAAGAACTGACCCTGAGAGTTTCAAGGCCTGTGTCCCTCTAGTCACTCACAAGGACTTGGAGCCTTACATCAACAGAATGATTGATGGTGATGGTGATTCTCCTATTCTCACTGGAAAACCCATCACAACCATTTCTTTAAGGTTTGACGTTGACCCCTTCTCCCTTGTTTCATCTAAGTAGTTTGAATTTGCAATTCATTAGTTTCTGAGTTCTTAAAAAAAAGTGAAACTCTTGCAGTTCTGGCACTACTCAGGGTAATCCAAAACATGTACCATGGAATGATGAATTGTTTAAAACCACAGTGCAGATATATCACACCTCTTTTGCCTTTAGGAACAGGTATTCTTCACTCACATGTACCTTTTTCTTCTTTCTTCTTTCTACTCACAAAGCTTTTCTGCTAGTTGGAATTGGAAACTGACACAAACAATTCCATTTCTGAAGAGAGTTTCCCATAAAAAATGGAAAGGCTTTAAGCTTTATCTACAGTAGCAAGCAGTTCAAAACAAAAGGGGGTCTTGCAGCAGGAACTGCTACAACCAATGTGTTCCGCAATTCAGGGTTCAAGCGTGCAATGAAAGCACTTCAGTCCCAATGTTGCAGTCCAGATGAAGTGATATTTGGTCCTGATTTTCACCAATCATTGTACTGCCATCTCTTGTGTGGGCTAATTTTCAGGGAGGAAGTTCAGTTGGTGTCTTCTACATTCGCACATAGCATTGTCCATGCTTTTAGAACCTTTGAACAAGTGTGGGAAGACCTATGTGCTGATATCCGTGAAGGGGTCCTTACAAGTAGGGTCACAGTTCCATCCATTAGAAGTGTCATGTCTAAACTGCTCAAACCAGACCCTGAACTAGCCAACTTGATCCACAAAAAGTGCATGGGGTTGAGCAATTGGTATGGTTTGATACCAGAGCTTTTCCCTAATGTTAAGTATGTTTATGGGATCATGACTGGGTCAATGGAGCCTTATTTGAAAAAGTTGAGGCATTATGCTGGAGAGTTGCCTTTATTGACTTCTGACTATGGATCTTCTGAAGGATGGATAGCAACAAATGTGAGCCCAAGATTGCCTCCTGAATTGGCCACTTACACTGTGCTTCCTCAAATTGGTTACTTTGAATTCATCCCTCTGACAGACATGGAAAGAATCTGTATGGATCCTAAGCCAGTGGGCCTCACTGAAGTTAAGGTCGGTGAGGAGTATGAGATTGTTATTACCAATCCAGCAGGTACCAAATTCTTCTCTAGTTATTAATTGTTTTCTTCCATTTAATAAATGATGACTAAGGTACACATTCCACCACACTGCCAAATTTTGATACTGACATGATATTACCATAAACACAATAATTACTTGACCAATTGTGTTTTGTTTTCCATCTAGAGTCTTGAAAAGGAAATGCATTTTTTCCTTTAAATTTCAGAATATTATTCTGTATATTGTTTTCTGAAAGGGAATAATGCTTACGGGTTAGTCTATATTGGGAATATAAGTGAGTAATTGTGGAGAGTATTCTAGAGGGATTTCACTTTCTGACAAAGCTTTTAGCCAAAATGCTTATTAATAAAACAAAAGCTATTTACTTTTCATTTTTTTTTTGTGGGGCGGTGATATGACCCACATGGGACCAGCTTAAAGCAATTTTTTCATTCTGATTTGCAAAGGAACATAGTACATACCTAATCACATTAAGGTAACATACTTACACCATTATAAGTTACAACATAGGTCTATTCTTACAAGTTACAACAACTAATTTGGATTTGTTTCATAGAACTTACTGTGCCTGTAGTTATCTGCATGTATCATTTTATTCTAAGATTTTTCCTAATATTGTAACTTGGATAATTTGCAGGCTTATACCGGTATAGGTTAGGGGATGTGGTGAAGGTTATGGGGTTCCATAACTCAACTCCACAACTCAAGTTTGTTCGCAGGTGTGGTCTTCTGCTTAGCATTAACATTGACAAGAACACAGAGAAGGATTTACAGTTAGCTGTGGAAGCAGCATCTGAATTGTTAGCAGAGGAAAAATTGGAAGTTGTTGACTACACTAGCCATGTTGATTTATCCAAAGAACCAGGGCACTATGTTATCTTCTGGGAAATCAGTGGTGATGCAAGTGAAGAATTGCTTAGTGAATGCTGCAACTGTTTAGATAAGTCTTTTGTTGATGCTGGCTACACTAGTTCTCGTAAAGTCAATTGCATTGGGCCCCTTGAACTCCGAGTTGTTAAGAGAGGAACATTTCAAAAGATTCTTGATCATTACCTAGGATTAGGTGCTGCTGTTAGTCAGTTCAAGACACCAAGATGTGTAGGTCCTAATAATAGCAAAGTGTTGCAAATATTGTGTGAAAATGTTGTGAAGAACTATCTCAGTGCTGCTTTCAATTGAATAAAATTTGGTAATATAAATTCATAGAAGTTTCGTTTCAGTTTTTTAACCAATGTGCAAATTTTTACCTCCTTTTAACTTTTTTGTTTTTCCACTCATAATTCTTTATGTTCTGCCACCTTCATCACCTCTGTTGCACCCTCTACAATAATATATAGTCAATGGTTGACCGTAATGGATAGAAATCCACATGTTCGGTTGGTAATGAAATCAAAAATGTTTTTTTAGTATTGGAGCTAAAGGCCATGATTGTCGTGAATAAAGGTGATAGATCATATGAATATGTACCCTATGGACAAAACAAATCAACTTAAAAAAAAAAAAAAAACCACGAATTGCATTAATAGTTTTATGTTAGATTTTTCTAACAGATCCCTCACACAAGAGTCTATTGAAATTAAAGAATAAATAATGCACATACCAATCTATGTGTGCTCTCATATACATAGAAATATTAGAATTTTAGTATACACATATAGTATCTCTTTTCTCCCTCAAGAATATGCATAATGCCTTAAAATTTATCCATGGCTGATTTCAAAAGGAATTAAAAAAAGATTTTGTTGATATACAAATGCGTTTTCCAAGTTGTTTATGTTAACCAAAGATAGGAGGATGAAAAGTGGAGTGGGGAGACAAAACATGCTTACATAGACAAAATATAGAATTTCTCCTTGCGAGTGGGAGGCTTTAATTGTGGCTTAAACACTCCTAAGACTATTGATGCACCAATCAGAATCCCCCCATGATAACAATTGACCACTAATTAAAACAAAGGACAAATAAGCTTTCTTCAGCATCATCAACGTAGCTTTCACGTGACTGAGACTTCTTTACTGTGATTAGAAGGGGAAAAAGTATAAGAATCTCAGTGCTAAAAAGCAGTTAGGTGAACCTTACAATGGAAGAACATACTGGTGGCCTTGTGTAGTAGTTACTGGCTATGCATGTGTTATGGACCTCAGAAAAGCTCATATTTTAGAAGGTTTAAATAGGGCTAACATTTAAGAGGAAATTAAGAAAATATTTTTTAATTATATTAATTCTACTACGACAGCAATGGATCAACAATTCGACCCCAAATACTCCTAAGAGGTCCAGAAGTCCACTCCTGTCAGGTAACCTATCTATAAATAAGGAGCTAAACCAATAAGGTACGTATTCTCAAAACCTTCTCTCTTAGCTTATCACTATGCACACACCCTACGCCTTGATTGCACAGTGATCCGCTGATCTCTACGGTACCTCCCCATAGGTACCTGAGAGAAAACAAACAGATCTTATATTAACATATCAATCTCTGATTGGACATCTTGATTTATTAAATCGCAAGACAATATTTTTTTTTTTAATTTTACTTTTTGATATTACCCATGGTTCATCGATTACTACATGGGTGATAAAAATTTTCCTATCAAATTTTAACACAACTACGTTTCATATACTCAATTCAAGATCACAAATTACGTTAGAGTAACCCTTTATCAATTAATCTAGTGTTTGGTAGTGCTACGACGGATTTTTGAAGGGACAATGACCGAAGTGCCTCACTTTTTGCAAAAAATTACTTGAATACAATGCTCTGCAAATATTTTTTCAAAATGCCATGTCACCTAACTCGCTACAACACTTGCGAGTTAGGTGTGGACACGTGGCAGAACGTGCATGGCCACGTAATTGTTAATTAAATGCAATTAATTAACACTCCTAAAAATAATTAATTAATAGTTTATATTAATTATTTTAGCTTAATTCAGTCTATATCAATTTAAATTATTTTATAATTGTTAATTAATTATTTTTAGGAGTGTTAATTAATTTCATTTAATTCAGTTTACGTTATGTTAATTTTTTTTGAACCGTTAATTAATGTAATTTTTTTTTTGGTAAGCAATTAATGTAATTTAATTTAAAAGTGTTAATGAATTAAATGTAATTTATGTTTATTAATTATTTTAGTTTAATTCAGTCTATATTAATTTAAATTATTTTATAACTATTAATTAATTATTTTTAGGAGTGTTAGTTAATTTCATTTAATTTAGTTTAAGTTATGTTAATTTTTTTAAGGTAATGTAATTTATTTAGAAGTGTTAATGAATTAAATGTAATTTATGTTTGTTAATAATTTTAGTTTAATTCAATCTATATTAATTTAAATTATTTTATGACACACACGTAATATGTTATGATGCATAGTACATTTGACGCCACGTAATCTCGTTGCTCTGCGCAGCAGCTTACGTCGCTATGCACCTTCTGCCACGTGTCCACACTTAACTCGCTATAAGTATTGTAACGAATTAAATGACGTGGTATTTTAGAAAAAAAATTGCAGCATTAGGTAATTTTTTGCAAAAAGTATGACACTTTGATTGTTGTCCCGCTTTTGAAAGGCTAAAGTTGTCCTTATGAACAAAGAAATTGAGTATTTCTTTTAATTTATAAAATAAAATAAATTATAACCGTTGACAGTTAATGAATTATATATACTAAAGGTTTATTGTTTTTATAAGCGATAAATTTATCTCTTAAAGCACACATAAAAGTGTGTGAGGCTCATGTGAATCCATATGAAGATAGGAGAGAAAGAGAAAATATAGACCTCGCACACTTTTATATATATGTAAAAAATAAATTTATCTCTTATAATATGAGAAACAATAAACCTATATACTAATACTGCTAAAAAAATTAAATTGTTTTAAGATTCATTTTTTCTGCAGTTACTGCAGATAAGTTATCTGCAGTAAGTCTAACACGACATCGTTTTAGGACGGAAATCATGGTGTTTTTATAATTTTAATTTATTTCAGGATTTTTATAGTTTTTATAATTATAACTTTTTAGTCTTTCAATCTCAAAACAACGTCATTTTAGGAGTAAATACAGAAAACTTATCTACAATAATTATAAAAATATTTTTCTCATTGTTTTATGGTTAAGATATTTTTTGTAGTTTATAAAATCTGCAAAAAGATCCAATCTAAAATAAAGAGTCACCTTCAAGTCATCTAGATAAACATAATGAACAATTTTGTCAGTGTCTCCAGATATTCCATGTACTTTATAGCAACACCACCTTCATTTCCATAGGAGATTGGGTTGAATTTACTATGATTGTCTGGGGCTAATCTATTGGCAGTAAAACATAGAAATAACTCTTTGATGAAACTCTTACTAGAATATTAAAGAATAGGACACGAAAAAAGTAGGACAACCATTGCGTATGCACATACGTGACATTATAGACTACAAGTTATATTCACCAAAAAAGTAAAAAAAGATTAGAAGTTTTTTTATTAATAAAAAAAGATTAAGTTTCATGTCATGACGTGTACACGGCATATCTCCATTGCGCGTATTCTCACTTGTCTGTTTTGACGTTCAATAGATGTAGCAATTTTTTTTTTTTTTTTTTTAAATTATGTAGCAATTTTAAATACCACCAGCTGACACAATACGATCACAACCGGAGATATTTGTTGATCCATTTTTAAATTGTTTGGTGTTCGTGTTATTAAAAATTATCACGAAAAATTTCTTATCTGTTGAGTGTCAACTTGTAAACACGAAACTAACCCAAGTTAATATTTTTACATATTATTCATATTGTGTTATGTTATCTCATGTTGTGTCGACTCGCGTAATAAATAACACTTTGAGATGAATGGGTTAATTTTAGGATAGTATTATATCAACCCACAAAATAAATTGTGCTCGTAATGAAGGTTTTGACCCGTTTTTAAATTTGTATCGTAATTGTTGAGTATATTCACGTTCACGTTATGTCATATAATGTCATGTCAACCCATATTGCCAGCCCTACCTTACAATTTTCTGATAATCATTTGGCCTAAGATTGACTAATTGTTAGAGATATGTAAAATCATTAATGTAACCTCATCCATCATCTTAAATTTTTGGGTTGAATTAGTTCTTTACATGATATCAGAACCTCGGTGTCACAAGTAAGTTGAGCCTGATGCATCATCCATCTTTCAAGTCCAATGGGCTCTCTTGCGAGGGGACGTGTTAGAAATATATAAAAGTCTCACACAACAGATTAAGCTTTCGAGTTGAATTGGTTCTTTATATGGTATCTCTTATGAATGTAGGTTAGGCCTAATGCATCATCTACTTTTTAAGTCCAATGGGCTCTCTTATGAAGAGACGTGTTAGAGATATATAAAATCGTTAATATAGTCTCATCCAACAACTTACGTTTTTGGGTTAAATTTGTTCTTTACATGGTATCAGAGCCTAGGTGTCCTGGGTTCAATCCTCACTGCCTCCTTTTTTTAAGTAAGTTGGGTCTGATGCATCATCCATATTTCAAGCCCAATGACTTTCTTGTGAGGGGGCGTGTTAGAGGTATATATAAAATCATTAATGTAGCCTCACTCAACAACTTAAATGTTTGGGTTGAATTGGTTCTTTACATGGTATCAGAGCCTCGATGTTTAGGGTTTGATCCTCGCCGCCCTATATTTTTTTGTGAAATTTTTTAGCACAGATAGGTTGGTTGGGCCTGATTCACCTTTCAACCACAATGAGCTTTCTTGTGAGTAGACGTGTTAGAGATATATAAAAATATTAACTTAGCCTAACCCAACAACTTAAACTTTTAGGTTAAACTCATTCTTTACCGAAATAATAAAAATCCCAATTCGGAAAAACAGTGAGAATGTGAGCCAAAGCTGTTTCAAGCGAACACTTTCGAATTAATACACTAGAAAAAAAAATTGATACTATTTCTAGTTATAATAATTTTAAAAAAGTATATTTATTGAAATTTGAGATTTTTTTTTTGGTGAAAAGAAATTTGAGATTTCGGTTATGCATCCTCGTGCTTAACTGCGGTTTGGTTGATGTGGTTATAAATGTGACTCCATATTTGACATAACAATATAGCGATTGATTAAAAACCCTATCCAAAGCGGTGTTGATAAAATTGTCGAAGATGCAGTCAAAAACCGTATTGAAATCCATGACGGAGGAAGAG